AATAAAGAAATCACTTTTGCCTACTCATAGAGTTGTTCTAGTTCCTTGCACCTGACAATGTTATGGTATTGTAAACCACCCAGAGTCATTTTGGATAGTGAGATGGGATACATATAAATTTAATAAGTAATAAATAAGTAAATACATTTATTGTACCGATAAAATCAGATAGTATAAAATATCTAACAGTATAGTTTTACACACATGTAAGCACAGATGCACCCCACCTGTATCATTAAACTTTGATTAGAAGAAAAAAGATACTCTTATTTGCGTTAAAAACATAATTATGTCCATGAAGTTTTCTTGGAATCAGTATGGAGTTGATATCTATTTATCTCCTTTCAGACTTCCAGTCTAGATTGCTGTTATGGAAGTGTTTTGGTCTTTTGGGCTTGTTCTCTCTTGCATAATATGTAGATTTTATGTCTATGTGGCTATTGATGACAAATTTGTCAGAATACTAAACTTCCAGAAATTGTCTATGTTTTTGGACTTGGCTTGGTCTAGAATGGTCAGCGTTTCCCAGTTAAAACTATAATTAAGTTTGTCTATATCAGGGGTGTCAAATTCACAGCATCACAGCGGTATCACATGATGTATCGGGAGTTTTTCCCCTTTTGCTAAACTGGGCGTGGGCGTGGCCAGCGTGTGATGTATCTGGCCTGCGGGCTGGGAGCTTGATGGCCCTGGCCTATATGGTGTGAAATTAAAGTGTTTTTACCATGTCTTCTGACTGCTCGTTGGTGTTCATGGATGCCTTCTGCTTGCTGTCTCCCTGTTTGTCCTACGTAGGGGCTATTGCAGTCTTTATACCAGTGGTGGGATTTAGCTGGTTCTGTCTGGATCACGCGAATTGGTAGTGGCGACTGCAGGAAGCTCCGCCCACCCGCCCAGACATAATGCACGACTATTGTGCATGCGCAGAAACCATGAACATGCACATCTGCGTATGCACACGGCCTTCTGCGCATGCTCAGTAGTCGCACATTATGTCAGGGCAGGTGGGCGGAGCCTCCCATAGTCACCGCTACTGATTCACATGATCTGGACAGAACCAGCTGAATCCCACCACTGGTGTAAAGACTGCAATAGCCACTACGTAGCAGAGGTGGAAGAGGTAGTGTGTGCACTCCCCTTTGCGAACCGGTAGGGAAGGTAGGTGAATCCCACCTCTGCTTTACACTGTATGTTGTAGATGACTCCTGTTTTTCCTTCCGGGATTATTGGACACTTAGGTTTATTTAGGATGATTTGAAAGATTTTAGTTGGTGTGTGTACCATGCTGATTTCATGTGGTTGAAATGATCTGTTGGTGGCTTCTGCATCAAAAACATCTCAGAAACTACTAACAGACTATTACAACCACATGGAATCAATGTAGTTCAGAGAGCACCAAGGACCCCCGCGTGTCAATCCTGAACTACAAATATTCTCCTTTATCAGGCCTTTATTCATCTGCTACGTTTACTAATAAATTCAGTGTTTAGTTCCTTGCCGTATATAGTTTCTCATTGGCGCAGTGTTGCTAAGGCAGATTTCTACAAATCACAGTATTTATTGTTGATCTTTTTACAGCTAAAATTAATTTTATGGAAGGCATACTGATTTAGAAATGTGTTTAGATAACTAGGTGGGATTCCTTCAGTTTTTTTCCAGGCTGGAATCTTAAACCTTGCGGGGGGAAAATTGCTAAAGTTTTGGCAGTACACAAAATAAATCTGACCCATATTTTCAGAGAGCCCTCTGGCTGTATAAAAAGTTGATGACAGTGACAGTGGGGAAAAATGCTTATATCTACAATTCTCCATTATTTTCTCATTAACTTGAATTTTAAAGGGAATCCCATTAGTGCCTCCAGAGAATGAACAGTATAAATAAAAACTACAGATTTATTCTTCCATTAAAAGAAATGCTATGGTAACAGGTTTGGTTGTCTCTTCTGCAGTTTAAAGTCTTAAAAAGATGAATTATCCGGGGGGTTTCTCACCCTTATAACCTTTTCTATATTGCATTTCACATCTCTAATTCCATAAGGCTATGCTTATCTAATAATAATCCTTCCATTGTTCTTAGTTTCCATGCCACAGCTAAAATTATCTCAGTGCATTTTAACTAAAAAGAGAGTTTATTTTATTTGATTGCCAAGGATGCATTGTGCTACTGCATAAGATTTACCTCAGCAAAAATGATGGAGATTAATCTGCATTGTTTAACTGTTTTTCTCACCAACTCATTTAGTCAGAATTATTCTTTCAATCAGTGCTACAGCATAACAGGTTTTCACTATGAAAAATTATAATGTATTGGCGATCAATTATTTTCATGATAGAGAAAGAGCTATCAATCTACTGAAGCTATAACCAATGGAATAAATTCTGAAGCAATGATACTAAAGATTTTTAGGTGTTAAGAATTGGTAAAGGCAAACCACACATAAGGACTAAATTACTTAAACCCCTTCCATTATAATTATTGCCACTGTGTCAGAGAATACAGAAGAGAGGCATTTGTGATTTGAAAGTTAATGTGTGTCATTTTACAGTGATTATCGCCAAGTATTACAAAGCATTTCCTGCAATTATGAATGCTCCTACCTGGGAATCAGCTCCACTAAACACAATGGGATTTACAACTGCTCAATAGACATGAGTTTGCTGTCACAGTGTCAGTGCAGTCCTATTAAATCTTATTGAGCTCAGTTTGGCTTAACTCCCAGATAGGTAGCTGCAAGAATGTATTTTTGACCACTAATCAGGATGTGTTTTTTTTAATTCCTAGGCATGTGAAAGTAACCTATATAAGTACTGACACTGAGAAGGGAGAAGATGCACAAAACAATTCCTCTTTCCCCTTCCCCCCATTCCGTCTCCTTTCCTTTTCTCTGTTATACTTATGTACATTAAAAGGCAAGGAAAAGTGATTTTACTGTTTTAAAATATATGAACAGGAATCAAGTTTTGGTTTTGAGCAGTTGCAGGATCACAAAATGGGGTGGTATGGTAGAGTAGAAATATTTCAGTATACAGTCATGCCAGCCATATGACCATGGAAGTGTCTTCAGCAATGTTGGCTTCCTCAGTTAGGAAACAGAAAGGAGCACCACCCCCTAGAGCACGGGTGTCAAACTAGTCACGTCACATTGCTGTCACATAATGTATCACAGTGTTCCCTTTGCAGAGCTGGGGAGGGCGTGGCCTGCGTGTGGTGCATTTGTCCTATGGGCTGCCAATTTGACATCTTTGCCCTAAAGTCAGACATTGGGTCAGGGGAAACCTTTAACTTTTTAAAAAGTAAGATCTAGCATTATGGATCTACCAGTATGACTGGGGGGCGGTGAGGGGGGGAAGCTGCAGTGTGGGTTCTTTTGTTCAGTATTTAAATTAATTCCTTGGCTTTCTTTTCCATTTCTGGCACCATCTGCCTGAAACAGTAATTGAAGATGGTTAGTTTTTTCCCCTCCGAATAAAATAAAATAAAATGTCTTGCTGAAGTCAATTCCTAAATCACTCCTTTTGTTCTGATGGTTGGAGCCTCAATAATAGTGCTCCATGCTGGATATGGTTGGTGGAGTGATACAGAAGATTCCATCTTCATCCATTCATGTTCCCAGTTTGTCGTTTTTTTTAATCTGATTGTAGTTTTTAATCTGATTCTTATTAATTGTAATGTTTTATGTTTATGATTTTTGTTATAGAATCTCAGACTACAGTAAAAGGAAGAATAAAGAGGTTGTCCAGCTTGGAGTTATTCCGTCGGCTGAAGTGACAGAGACAAGACTCTTGAAGCAGGACTCTTCTTGGCAACAATATGGAAGTGATATCTATTTATCTCCTTTCAAACTTGCCAATCTAGTTTAAACTCCTGGCTATTCGGGTAGTCTCCCCTTCAAATACTAACCTGATCCAATCCTACTTACCCTTTCAAAATCAGCATAGAACATAGAATACTAGAGTTGGAAGAGATCTAGTCCCAAGCATCTAGCCCCAAGCACCAAGGTAGATAGATGCTGCCAACAATGATTTCTGAATTCTGTAGGTAGGCTCAGTGCCAGGGAGTTATTCTGGTGATAACACTCTGATGGTAAAAAGAAATCTTATTTATTTGTTCTAATAATGGACAAGTTGGTATGATTTTCTAAATCTCTTCTTACTGAAGTTAATATGCCTGTAGGTAAGGAATAACTCCCATTGTATATATCTCTACATTAAATTTTTAAAGAAATTCCTGCCCAGGTTTATTTTATTTTTTGCTTTGAGTTGAATATTTCCAGGGGATTTATTGACACAAACAGATATAAGTATCCTTATTTCTTTTGGATCTCACTTACCTCGATCTGCATGATATTATCCGCCCTGTTAAATTGGTTTTAAGTTAAAAACTGTATAAAAATTACTTTTTCTTATATAATGTTAAGCATTTGCACTATGGAGAAAGCTATCAACACCATCATATTTGTTAAATTCTTGAGTGGACAGACTTTCTAGGTTGCCTGGCTATAAAAACAATGCAGTGTAGATATAAAAGGGTATCCAAGTAGGTAGTAAACAGAGGCATAATGCCTTATTACAGGAATACAGCTTTTGCATCAAAACAAGATTCTAGTAGAAAGAATATTCTTAAAAAGCCTGCCTCATTCTGCAGTTTATTTTTATCTGCTTCTTTAGGTCTAAATTGGCTCCATGAACAACTTACCTGTCAGGAAGAGCAGCTATTTCCAGGTGACACAAATCCTACCTCTTAAAGCCAATCCCTAGAAGAATCTCTATAATTATCTCCCCAACAGCACAGAATACAGCCATTGTTATTGATCAACTGCAAGGAGCTCAACTGTAGGTAGAAATTGGGATTTCCAACTGGTGTGAGCACATAAATGACCATTTTCATATGGAAATGATATGTTTTGTACAAGTAGAAACATTCGGAACTATTGTAGGGGCATTAATACGAAGCAGGTAAAACTACATTTCCCAGGACGTCAGCAAAAAACAACAAAAACATGACTGTTGCACAGATTTTATTGAGACATTACTTTAGGGCTACTACATTTGGAATGCAAAAGTCTGGATTATTACTACCCGGTTTCCCCCAAAGTAAGATATCCCCTGATAATAAGCCCAATCGGGCTTTTGAGCGCATGGCAATAAGGCAAAGCGCTTATTTCAGGTTTCAAAAAAATATAACACAGGGTCTTATTTTTGAGGAAACACGGTAAGTGTCAACAAAGAGTTAGAGGCTTGTGAATTTCTTTTCTACTATCTAGTGCTGCTAGAAATTTACAGCTGATGTAAGGGAAAAAGATATTGAAGTCTCTTGGAACACAAGAAAAGAATTATGTTACAGATGTGTGAGGAGTTATGCTAGTAGAAAGCACAAAAAAGAGGGAACAATCAAATCATAACACTGAATGAGGAAAAAATGAGATTGCTGTAAAAAGAATGAGCGAGAAATACTTATGCATATATAGACAAGAATAATTTCAAAAGTGCAATCAGAACAAAGAACAGTTAAGATTAAAAAATGACAGGAAATGTTGAGTGATTTTGAAAGAATTTTGTTTTAATGTTTTGGATATGGATGAGCAAGGTTAAAAAAAGAACCTCCTACAGAATGTTTGGAATTAAAAGTAAAAATAAATAAATGATGAAATAATTTTGATGAAATTGAAGTAAAGGAATGCACTGGGCAGGGATTAAGACAAATTTGTCTGATGTCACCTCAGATGTTGAATGTATTTATGAATAAATATATGAGGAACATTTATGACAGCAGGATGTTGTTTAGGAATGTGAATGCATGTGTATTCTGTAGGATGATGTCATTAAAATCATGAAGGTGTAAATCATTTGCAGCAAATGATTAAATGATATAATGAGGCTACATATCTGAAAAATAATATCAAAGAAGATAGTTATGCTTCATAGGAAAATGGAATGGTCTTTAGTGAGTAATGAATCTTTTCCTGAAAAAATATATATAAAACATATAAGATGTGCTTCTGACCATTTTGTTGTATGGATGAATGAGATGTATTTCAGCTGCTGTGCAGATACAATTTTTGTTTGGAACTCAAATGAAACCTTTAAAGATGGTGTAGTATAAAAACTTAAAGCACATACTTTCTTCCCATTTTTTTTTAAACATGGACTTACACTGTGATCAAAATTGAAACACATATTTGGATATGCATCTTCCCTTATTGGTTGAATTTACATTTTCTGCCATAGGTTTGACACAGACAACTGATCTTTCTTTTTTCAAACCAGCTAGATATCTAAGCCAAGTAGCAGTTCCCAAATTCAGAAGAACCCTAATCCTGGCAATATTTAATGCCTCCAGAACGGTTGAGAGAGCAAAATATCATTGAACAAAGACACTGTCTCTGTAGTAAAAGAGTTTTTGAAAGATTAACCAATGTTTTGTTATGTTTCTTCCATTAAGATGTCCAGCAGCAGCTAATCATATCCCATGTTGTCATATTTCAGGTCACCTACATCCATTTTGAGTCAGACATGGTGGCTCAGTGGCTAAGATGCTGAGCTTGTTGATTGAAAGGTCGGCAGTTCAGTGGTTCAAATCTATAGTGCCGCATAACGGGGTAAGCTCCCGTTACTTGTCCCAACTTCTGCAGTTTGAAAGCATGTAAAAATGCAAGTAGAAAAATAGGGACCACCTTTGGTGGGAAGGTAACAGTGTTCTGTGCGCCTTTGGCATTTAATCATGCTGGCCACATAACCACAGAGACGTCTTCAGACAGTGCTGGCTCTTTGGCTTTGAAATGGAGATGAGCACTGCCTCCTAGAGTCAGGAGCAACTAGCACATATGTGCGAGGGAAACTTTTACCTTTACATCCATTTTATTTGTAGTTGTTATCCAACCACTATGATTTTATTTCTCTTAACATGGCTCACTTTCTTTTACTATTTGCAAAACACTCTCTACTTTGACCACTCCAATTATAATTATTTGATTTTTCTGTGGTTTTTATTTGCTCTCACAATTTTTTTCCCTTCTGTTTCTTGAGCTGGTCAATGACTATAATAAAGTACTACTACTTTTTCTGATTTGATTGACTGACAAACTCATTGTTTTCTTAGACTCCTTTACAATATGTTTATTGAATGATTTCCTCCCCAAGTCTCTTCTATCTTTAGGTAATAGCATTTCAGAGTAATGTGCCAGCTTATGTGCTAGATCATCTTGGAGAAAAGACTCTACATGGTTACAAAGACTTGGCACCAACTTGATGGCACATAATCAATCAATCCGTCAATTCAGTATCAGCTTATCACTTCTGTAATGTGAATGCTTGGTCCTCCTTGCATTTTTCCTGCTTATGTGCAAAGCATAATTGCTTCAATCGTTCAAGCACTAATGCTTTTCCAAGCTAATTTTTCTCCATTGACTGGAAGTACAAGGGTATTTTCGAGTTTATAATTCTCCATCTCTGGCTATTTTGAATGATGATTACAACTCATAATAGAGAAATAACAATGCATAAATTTTCTGTGTGCTTCATTTCTCTGTGAGAAGATCTTTTGGAATAAAAGCATATTCATGTGCATAAAGATACTTAGCATTTTGATGATCTATGCTGATTCCTATGCATTATATGCAGCTGAACCTGGAATTTAAAAGCAGAACAACAGATTATATATATAAAAAACTTTTTGTATACTTGTAAAAAGTATGAAACAGTCCAATAACCACCACTGGTGCACAAAATGCAATTTGTAGCCCCATAACTAACTTTTACACTGAAGCCCTTCTGTCAGTTATGTACCTAAATTAACCCAGCAATATTTTGTACCTACTGCTTATATGCACACACAGACACATTCACACATGTACAGTCACACTCACTGTGTAACAAGATGAGATAGCAAAAAATTGGGAACATGATTTTTTTTTTTTTTTTTTTTGCTTATTGGATATGAAGATACTCAAGAATATGATGAACCAGTTTCAGACACTGGGATAAAATTGATGTTTTTAGACTTGATTTTAGCAAGTACAGGCCTTCTTTACTTCAGCACTGGATTCATTATTGGTTGTGATGAACCAGTGCATGAATCTTATAATGTGATAAGATAGTAAACAATAGATTTAAGCTCAATTTTCATTATGCAGAGGCCATGTTGAAAGTTTTCCAGCATGGAAAAATGATTTTCAAAGTATTGTTGATTTCTGAAAAAGTAGACTCAAACATTTAATCTGAAAGAATTATTCAGTTATAGCTTCAGTTCAAAGTGACATGTTAAAATTTACCTGTTTTCTTGTAAACATTATAATTGGTACAATTTAACAGTCCACCTATCCGGTTTGTTTTTGTTGTCATTTGCTATTATAATGAGGTTTATGGTTTTTAGAGTTATTGACTATATTACAGGTGCAATCCAATGCACTTCAACCAAGGTTGTTCTACACTATGAGGTCTAGAAAGCAAGCATGATGACACTTATGCTCATTAATTTTTATGAGCATATTCAAATGATATGAGCCAAGGCTAATACCTAGGAAATGATGTAACTGGGGTTGGAAGAAGAGTTGCATATCAGATACGGTATTTCCAATCCACCATTCAAAAGATTTTTCCATAGAATCTGCAGTTTGTGTGCATATTTCAATCAGTCTTCCTTTTCCCAAGAGGAAAAAAATATATATCAGGGTTTCTGTTCTCCAATTTTGCTCTCGAAAAATAATACCAAGTATGCTGTTTATCAAATTGATGGAACGCCTTTTATTATTTTAGTATTATTATTTTGTACAGCTAACTGTATGTGTTCTTCTGCTATCTACATACCTGATTTGCATTACATAAATGTGTTTTACCTTAATTAGAGGCTTCACAAGAAATCAACGACACTTTGTTCAAAACAAGCTACTTGCATTCTTATCTTATCATTATTGTTTCCTGGCATTATAATATGAATCTTTAATGCAGTAAGATGCTGATACATCTTCATAAATGTTAGAGATGTATATCCATGATGATACCTCGTCCCCTCCCTCCCGCAAACCCCCCCCCCCCCCCCCCCCCCCGATATCCATTTGCCTACCTTTCATGAATTAAACAGGAAGGAGGATTTCCCTAGTGATATTGGAGACACAATTAAATCACTCATAAGGATTGTTTCGCAGTTGTTTCTCTGGAGCAAAACAAAAATATGCTTTGAATAATGATGCTCAACTACCAGAACCATAACATAAGGAAAAGCAGGAGGGGGAAATACGATCCCTAGGTTTCTCAGATCTTCACAGAACTCCTTGTCATTGCAATGTTATCAAATAATAGATCTGCCCATTGCAGTTCCTGGAAGAGGAGAGGAGAGAGAGTGGGAGAGGATTCTGGACTTTCAAACAGTTATCTGGTTTTGCTATTAGTTGTAGCCTCAGCATACCTCTGCTTACGAAGTTCATATTTGGCTGGGTGCTGACATATTGTATGTAAATAACAGCACCAGTTCTGTTCAGTCTGCATGGTTTGTATAGGTATAACAATATAAGAATGTAAAAAAATAATAATTAGAACCATAGTATATTAAAAACCAACACATTTCCTTACACAGTACCGTAATTCTCCAAAAAGATGACCCACCTTGAAAATAAGCCCTATCATGTTTTTGAGTGCATGCGATCAAATTAAGCCCCACCCACAAAATTAGCCCTAATTAAGACCCCACCCACCCCAGGGTGCAGGAGGTGGGTAAGGCAAGGCACACAGGTAAAAAATCAGCTAGGGTGGTGGAGCTGCCCTATTTACCGGGCTTCGCACACCCCGACACCTGCCTTGCCTTCTTCTGCGGCCGCTTGCACACACATTGCTCTGGCCTACGTTTCACCTTCAAATGCCTTCTGGCAGGCATCTGACGATGAAACGGAGACCGGGGCAATGCATGCGAGTGGCAGCAAGCGCCTGCAGAAGAAGTGGGCCAGCAGTGGACTCCTGCTGGGTAGGGCTGTCGGTGAGACCGCTGCAAGGTGAGTCAATAATTAGAACCCTCCAAAAAGAAGGCCTAGCTGTTTTTTCAGGGGTAAAAAGAGAATAAGACCCGGCCTTTTTTTCAGAGAAACACGGTACTATTTTTAATTACCACCTTATGGATATCTATTTTTACATGAATGGATTACTTGCCAAAAATTATTCTTGGTTAGTTTCAGAACGATGACTCCAAACACCATTTCTACCTGTTGGATAGCCAACAGGTACCTTCTAAAATGGTGTTATGATATCAGAACTCATACTCTGTATTTTATCAATTTGTACCAAACTCTAGGCTGCACTCTAACAGCAGAACACAAGTTTGATTCCTCCCATTTTTGTCACTACAGTTAATAGCAGAGGTTTATGCTTCTTTTACAGTTATGTTAGATTCCCTTCAGAGCCATATGCACAACACAGACTGTAAGGTTTCACACATAGTGCTTTCAATGCTTCTGTATCATACCTGGACCCACCTCTTCCCTACTGAGCCTAAGCTGAGTCTGCCAGCTGAGGGAATTGGTCTGTTCTATTTTTGCTGAGAAGACAAAGAAAAACCTTGCAGGGAAAGAGATTAAAATCATTCCTGTTTCAGCTAGCAATTGACAGTTTAAGTGGTATACCTATCTTTATCTTTTCAAGGAGGGCAAGAGCTGAAGACTTCACAAAGATGGCCCTGTTGCCCTTAGAATTTGCTGCCTGAAACAATCACCTCATTCTACGTAATGGAATCCTGCCTCTCTATGTAAAACAACAACCTCATTCATTTTTTTTCCTTTCTTTCTCTCCCACTCTTTCCCCCTATTTAATATTTATTCATCTTCGGTTTTTGTCCTGCTCTCCTCATGACTAGAATTTGTGCTTCCTCCCCCACCCCATGTTCTATGGCTTATTAGTTTCTCCATGTTGCTCTCAGTCTCTTATTTCACATACATGGAAATAAAAATGACTTCATTTGTATTCTAGCAATTGACAACCCAATTTATTCTGACTTGCCAATTCATGTCAAATCCTTCAATATGAAGGCGTATCAGACAGCCAGTTCTTTTAAAAGAACGCATTTAAATGCAGGCAGGCACACATTCCATCATATCAGCAGCATTTACAAGTTCCTCAATGATCTTTCAACAAAATTCCCCTATTTGCTTTTAGAAATAAAATCTTTGCTTCCCACCCAGCTATCTTAATTAAAGAATACAATTGGAGACATTTTGCTTGGGGTGTGTGTGTGAGAAAGACAGCAAAATATGTTTTTCCATTGTCTGACTACTAGGGTAAAGTAGGGTAGGATGACCTTGACAAAAATTTGCAAGCATCATTAACTAGGCAAAAGAGGCTGAAACATTTTTTTTTCAAGTCCAGAGCAATGAGATAATGTTTGAGAGTGGCTCAGGCAGATGCCTCCCTAATGCAATGGAGCATAAGAAGGGGGAGTTGATGCACTACAATCAGACTCATATAAGTTTTGTTGTCGTAGTTTTCTAGTCTCTTTCCTGTGGATTTGACTTCTTGGTGGAGCTGTTGTTGTTAGCTTAAAGGGGCTCTTTCAAAAGGCAACTGGACTGTTTTTTCCTTGGGGAAGACATTTAGCTTCTTAACCAAGAAGCTTCATTAGTTCTGCCAGGATGGTGGGAGTGATGGAAGGATTAGTTCAGACAGGATGGTGGGGAAGGATCACATTTCTTTGCAGTTATCTGGTCATTAGCATTCTCCTGAGAGCTCTTGAGGCCACTAGGGGATTGCTATTGTTACCCGTTAAGAGACAGTCCAGACTAGAGGCACAGCCATGAGTACCAACTGTATTTTTATTGTAAAGATACATTAACAGGATTTTGCAAGATTGAAAATATTTCATCCTTCCTCCCCTTTTGTTCTGTAGAAAGCTAGGGACAGTTTTCTGAAATGCTTCCCATACCTGCTCTCCCTCTGTAGGCCAAGAAATCTTTTACATGCCATTGTCCAGTCTACAGCTTTTCCTCCTATCTCCCATGGTCATTATCACAATGGAGTGTCAAATTTTTCAGTTTCCAAATATTAGGGGTGCTCAAAAGTTGCGACATGCCTTGGGGATTGTAAAGATATTTTGGTTACTTTAATATAATTTAGATGTACTTAGTAAGTAACTATATAAATATCATAATTTTTTAAGATTTTGTTTCTTTCATTATAGTTAGATATAATAGTGTAATTTTATTGTCCAGGCCTTTTACCCATGAAGAATCTCTCTGTGTGCCATAATATAGCATATTTGTGACTATTGTTCATGAAAACATTGAACCACAATACTGTGCTTTTTTTATGCATCACTTAAATCCTTTTCTCTCCAAAGAAAAGTCTAAATTGATAAGTGATGCAGATGCATTATATTGCCAGAAACAGAGTAGAACTGAAAGGTGGAAAATTTATGAGAAAGAGCAATAGTCAATATTATTAGAAAAGCTGCATTTCCCACCATCACATTAATGCAATGCAGTAACACTTGGGAAATTTAAGTTAGAAATAAATTGCGCCCATCAAATTTTACTAATGGAAGACATATTGCTTTCGACTTAAATATTTTTGATGCTAATCCTGAAGTAGATGAAATGAAGACCATTGAATGTGAGCCCCTGACCTTCCTCCTTGTTCTGAAAGTTTGAAGCATGACACCTACTTCACATAACTTTATTCCGTAGATGCTCCTTTTCAAAACAATCAACCTACCTTCTCTCAGCTTTGTAGGGAGTTTCTGTAGCCCTTTAACATGCTGAATTTCCCATGCTGAAATCTTATTCAATTATAGATTAATAAATGCTCACTCCACAAAAAGTTTTCAACAGAATGTAAGAGTTTGTGCTTTATTCTCCTGCTAAAAATGCTCATGAATAATGACACATGGCTGCTACAATCAGTTCATTCCAGTTCTGTGTTTAACGTGAGGAAGCCAGCAAGGGACTAAGATTTAGCTTTAGTTCTGAGTTGTTATACGTGAAATATCTATTATTTTTAACCTTCCAAAACTGCCTGGTCTTTGAGCAGGAAGGGATGGGGGGGAAGCTGAAAACAGAGACAATGCACTGTTGAGGAAACAAAGGTTCCTGGACAACATCTGAAAGGTGTGAATGGCTAACAGATTCCAATACACAGGTTGTTCATGCTTCTTGAAAAGTGGGGAACTCTATTACTGAGAGGTTTTAGCAGATAAGGGAAGTCAGCTTAGTAACCTGCTGTCAAAAGTAATGAGGAGCAAATTGTTCACATGCAGTCAATGGCCAAAGCTACTGTAAATGTGAACCTCTGCAAAAGAGATAAATGGGACTCTTCTAATATCAGTAGACCCTCTCTGACATCACTGTTCTTATCGATATGATGGATTTTCCTCCTGTCAAGAAAGAGTATCAAACAAGATCTACAATGGCTTTTTATAAGTCTATATTTTTGTGTCATTTCTACACAAAACTTCTATTTACACATTTCAAAAGAATTCTTGATTTGGGAACAGAGTAGTTACAATCCACTATTGTTACTCAATGAACCTAAAAGGGGATACCAACCATAAATGCCAATGCAACCTCTCAATGATGTCAGATTCTGGAAACAGGTTCTGGAAAGAAAGTATACTTTGGTTTTCAGAAAAAAAATATCCTTATACATCAATAGGATGCAACATGGTTCCTCACCTTCCTCACCCATGAATATTCAACAGTGTTGCTTTTGTTCACAATAATATTTATTTATTCGTTTATTTATTTTCGTCAAGCATGTATTAGATAACAGATATAAGTATAAACATGATTATGAATACATGAAATGGATATGAATAAAAGGGAACATTAGGACAGGGATGGTAGGCATGCTGGTGCACTTATGCATGTCCCTTAAAGACCTCTTAGGAATGGGGTGAGGTCGACAGTAGACAGTCTAAGGTTAAAGTTTTGGGGGTTTGGGGAAGAAACCGCTGAATCAGGTAGTGTGTTCCAGGTTTTGACCACTCTGTTGCTGAAGTCGTATTTTTTTGCAATCAAGTTTGGAGCGGTTTACCTTGAGTTTGTATCTATTGTGTGCTCGTGTATTGTTGTGGTTGAAGCTGAAGTAGTCATTGACAGGTAAACATTGTAGCAGATAATTTTATGTACTACATTAGGCTGGACCGAAGGCGGCAAAGTTCTAAGTTGTCTAAGGCCAAAATTTCAAGTCTGGTGACATAAGAAATTCTGTTGCGAGCAGAGGAGTGGATATTCTTACTAACTAATAATTTTACTAACTAATAATACTAACTAATATTCTTACTAACTGTTCTGCCCCAGCTACGGACCCCAAAGAACGCAGCATCCACAAAGTCCATACAAACCTTAGTTTACTAATTAAGGACTACTAATGAGCTTTCTTCGTAGTTGTTCGAACACAATGCCCAGAAAGAATTTGCAGAAAAACTGACAAGAGAGAAACAAGAGCCGAATCAAACGTTTCTGAAATCAAGACGCGAAGGAATATGAACAAAGTGCATCAGTCGTCGTCCTTCCTTAAATAGGCTAGGGGAGTGGCCAATTAGCCCCAAGCCTTATTCTCGAGGAGACCTCCTCCTGAGGAGCCACTCCTGCCCTTTAACAGCTCTGCATGCTCATGCATTGAGAAGAGGCTCCTCTTCTTCCTCTTCACTTATGGGAGCTTCTGGAGGTTCTGAAGGCCCTGACTGAATCCCCACCTCTGGCACCACATCTTCTCCTGCCTCATTGTCTGACTCAAGTGCCAGCTGCACAGGCTGCTGGCGCAGCACCACACCAGCCTCCTCACTGTCAGAATCAGCTACTAACTGCACAGGCTGCTGACGTGCCACAGCACTAACTGAGCTTAGTTATTTTCTTGCGACTTTTCATTAACCAATTAGGCACCATGCTAGCAACATATGTTAATCAGAGATTAACACCAGGATTAATCATTAAAAACCAAGCAATAAATAATCAGAGAATTACCTACTCAGACAAACAATCGAACAAGCAGTAAACAACAGCCTAACCAAGGAGCTACCAAGAACACTCCCACTCCCTCCCATATAAACAGAAAGCTAACCCTGCTCCTTTCTAGCACTGATGATGTTACATAGTTGAGAGTCTGTGAAAACAACTAAGCTCAGAGAGCACCAAGAACTCCAGAGTTCAACTCTGAGCTACAAATTCACTTCTGTTGGTATCCTTACTAAAGATTATATGGTAAACTACAACTGCAAGAACACGAATAGTGACTAATGTAGTATTTCAGATGAAATTGCAGGTGTTTGATGCAGTAAAGCACTTGGAATATTGCTATTTTTTCAAAGCAATATCTATACCTATCACCCACCCACCCGTCTGTCTGTCTGTCTGTCTGTCTGTCTGTCTGTCTGTCTGTCTCTCTCTCTCTCTCTCTCTCTCTCTCTCTCTATCTATCTATCTATCTATCTATCGTATAAATTCAGAATGATTTTTCCATATATACAGTACCATACAGCATATTCCTGTCTCGAATCACCCAGGGGAAAAAAAAACCAAACAGTGCAAATGATTTGAACCTCACCTGCTTTACACCAAGTGCACATGCTGTCTTGGGAAGCAAGGCTGGCATAGATACATCTGTGGAATTTCAAAAGAAATAAGTTGTGTGAAATCTATCAAAAGCATCTGAAGGGACTTCCAATCATTCTTAATTAGTCTGATTTCTTCTAGTTTATGAACTGCTTGGGGTTTTCCCCCCAGTAAGGAACAGATGTGTAGAATCTGTAATAAGATTTCCAATTTTTAAATGGAAAATTTCTGCTAGATTATCACATCTTAACAAACCAGACTAAAGGTGTGAATAATTTAAGGAAGTTTCTTGCACAAAATCAGTAATTGTTCATCAAATTCTGCTCACTGATTGTTTATCAATACTATATAAAAACTAAAATCCAGACAAATAATTCACTACCCTGTTTCCCCTAAAATAAGACATCCCCTGATAATAAGCCCAATTAGGCTTTTGAGTACATGCGTTAAAATACCCCCCCAAAAAAATAAGCCGTCCCCAAAAGTATTTAAACGCATATGCAGCCCGCATATGTGGAAATGCACATTTCCCCGCCATTTCCTCTGGTTAGGGTTAGGGAGACAGAGCTGGAAATCAGGTAAGACAGCAAGAAGAGCCCCCTCTTTCTCCACGTGCCCCAAAGTAATAAGACATCCCCGAAAATAAGGCCAACACTTATTTTGGGGTTCAAAAAATATAAGACAGGGTCTTATTTTCAGGAAAACATGGTATTGTACTTTTATCTATTGATTCTGTACCTTCTTATGTTTCTGTTGCCTATTTTATTATAACATAGTTCTGTCCCACTAATTCTGTCATAAATGGATACATTTCTTAATGAGCATTAATGTTTCCTTTTATCTTTATAATTCAAGCCTTGCTCCATTCAGTTGTTTTCCCCACACAAACAAAGCATAATGCAGCTTTTAAAATTTAATCCCTATATCACATGGTGAGTCTTTATTAATATGTAGCAAACTTCCAGCAGCAGTAATTTTCAGTTTTAATTGATTTCTTCCTACTCATGTGCCTGGTGGACCTTAGTAGTTAAGCTAGGGGATGGAGCTTGGGAATCATATAGGCATTCTTCAAACCAGACTTAAGGTTTTTAAAGATGACAGTCTTGGTATAGAACCAATGAAACCAAAGCAACTAGCAAAGAATCAGTATAATATCCCATTATCACTTTTTTAAAAAATTTGATTTATATGCCGCCCTTCTCCGGAGACTCAGGGCGGCTTACAATTCGCTAAGCAATAGCCTTCATCCTTTTTGTATATTTTATACAAAGTCAGCTTATTGCCCCCACAACTGGGTCTTCAATTTACCTACCTTAGAAAGGATGGAAGGCTGAGTCAACTTTAGTTGGTTCCATATCTAGGTCAATGACTTGTTGTAGATTGGAGATTCCTTTCCACAGTTCCAAGAAGGCTCCACACCAATTTGCACCACTCAGGTGACCCCAATGACACAGATAAACTTCCAGATGACCTTAACGGCATGCTAAAAGAATGCAATTAACCATCTGTCTTCAAAGAGTATAAATCTTTTCATTCCCCACCATCCAGTCAGAGCTGAAGAAGCTTCCTGGATAAGAACTGAAACCTCTTCAAAGAGAAACCAGTTGCCTCTTGAAAAAAGCACTTTTGGGACAACCATGACCTGGATGACTAAGAATATCCATAGATTTACAGGAGCATTTTTGAGATATTTTGTAAGGTATAGGTCAGTGGTGAAATGTAAAATTTGTTACTACCAGTTCTGTGGGCGTGGCTTGGTGTGGGGGGTTTGATTTGTGACTGGGTGGCGTGGCCACCTTTTTTAAAAAATTATTTTTAAAAGCATTTTTTCTACAACCTTAAGTGGTTGTAGAAAAAAATGCTTTTAAAAGCCTCTGACAATCAGGCAACTCAGGTGGGATCGTCAGAGGCTTTTAAAAGCATTTTTTTCCTGCAACCTCTTCAGTCGAAGAGGTTGTAGGAAAAAATACCTTTAAAAGCCTCTGACGATCCCAGCTGAGTTGCCTGATCGTCAGAGGCTTTTTATTTTTAACTTTTAAAAGCATTTTTTTCAGCCGAAGAGGTTGTAGAAAAAAATGCTTTTAAAAGTAAAAAAAAAAAGCCTCTGATGATCGTGCAGCTCAGCTGGGCATGGGGGGTGGGGTGCAGGGATTTTTGCTACCAGTTCTCCGAACCACCATCGCTACCAGATCGGGTAATCCGGTCCGAACCGGGAGTATTTCACCCCTAGTATAGGTCATTAGCTATACAGGTAAACATTTAATTCGGACAGCACCATCTTATGCCTAAGGATATTTATCCCTCTAGTAGGACTGTATTGCTGTTATCCTTCACTTAATTCCTATTACCTTCTCCTATTGGTATCTTATGATTTATCAATTTGTTGTTTGTATCTTGTGATTTATGACTGTATCTTATGATTTATGATTTATTACTTTGTTGTTTATATATATGCTAAGACCTTATGTTTGTAAGTATACTATATGTTTATATGTACACTGAGAGCTTATGCATCAGAAACAAATTCCTTGCATGTCCAATCACACTTAGCCAATAAAGAATTCTATTCTATTCCTATTCCTATTCCTATTCCTATTCCTATTCCTATTCCTATTCCATCCCATCCTCAGTTGAAAGGCAAGTGTCCTGTTTAATGCTTATTAATAATTTGTTACCCTATTCCTGGTAAGCTAACAGTAATTACTCATTGTCATCAATGTGATGGTTGTTTGCCATCTTCAAACCAAGAGATAAAATATTAACTTTGTTATATGCCTATTTTGGACACAGGAAGAGAAACTACACTACAGGCAGTCTTTACTTAGTGATGGCCTCATTCGGTGACCACAGTTACAGTGGTGATGAAAAAGTAACCAGTTTGTAAAGCAAAGAAAAACTGAAGTAAGATGATAAACACAGCCACAGTTTCATTTAGTGACTGATTTGCTTAATGATGAGTTGCCAATTCTAATTGTGGTTGCTAAATGAGGATTGTCTGCATACACATTCAGTTTAATTAATATTTCAAATAAATCAACATTTATTTTCTTTATAAATATCCCATGTGTTGCAAAATTGCTACTCCATCATAATTTTGCAACTTTCTTCTTCCTACAACTGAGTTCATTCAAGTGCTAACAATAATTGATAAAGCAGGGGTAGTCTATCCCATGTCTTCAGATTACACTGCTGAAAGTAGGTGGCAAAATGACTACTTGGGGTGATATAATTTCAAAGGAGTTCAACATTACCTTTGTGGGCACTCTACATATTTTTCTTTAGGAAGGAGAGAAAAGCATAAAGGAATGAATTCTTTATGCTTCTTTGCTAATCAGCTAATTAATTTCCTGCTTTAGGTAATCCTTTTTTTAACAGCTTTACTCTTTAAACACAACTGTAAGGATCATTTTCTTATCAGTTTGCAAATATTGTAATTGTTTAATAGGTGCCTTGTGAGCTCTGTCTCTCTGTGTGTAATAAACTCTTAGATGCCACTACATAAATTAACATAGATCACATTAAATTAACTCTAAAATTGTTGTTACCTCCTAGCAACTTTGGAAGCTTTTCTGAAATGTTTTCTTGTGGAGAATACCTTTCCAGTTTTGACAGATTTTTAAACATTGTCTTCTCAATACTATTGCGGTCATGCTGATCATAAAAACAAAATTAAACAGAGGCAAAATAGAAAGATAGATAAATGCTGGAGGATAGGTAGAAAATCTTTAAAAGAATGAGTTTAACTATCAAGTTCCACAGTAATTATATTTATTGGAAAGTTTGCTTGTTCTACTGAAAAACAGCTTGGCTAAAAGGGGGAAAAATGAAACAATAAAAAACAAAATCCATACTAAAACATTATTTTCATTGAGCCAATTTATGATAGCTAGTATGTGATCCCTTCAAATCTCTTCACCACAAAAGAACTCTGAACAAAGCCAAATGGCTAAAAGTCAAGCCAATTCCGTATTTAGCTATACACTATTCCAGAAACTGAATTTGTCCCCTTTAATTTTGCAATTTTTTAATGGAAGAATCACCATATAAAATGCTGGCAAACTATATTTGTTACATAAAGTAAGTTCTAGTGCAGAAATTAGCTAATTTTCTTGTTTTTCTTTTCTCCTTTTTCCTTCTCCTTTTTCAACAAGATAGGCCGTATTATTGGGTAGGAAGGAATGGGCATCTTGAGCAGCCAATTTTGCATATCGTAAAACAGACAGCAGATTATTCATTTAATTTATGGTCTTTGCATATACAAGGTTAGTTCTTTATTCCCTGGGATGTCTCCAAAATTTCCCCAGCTAGGTATCAACCATATGGAGTCTTGTATCTAGAAAAATCTGTAAAAATCTGTAACTCTAAAAGGAATAAGTTATGGGAAGAGAATTGTTATGTTCTGGATGAAGAATGGAGGTGAGACCAGAATGATGTCTAACAGCTCTTTATTCGATACTGCCTGTGAGGCAACTGTTGCTCCCTGGCTGTTACAGCTCCTTATATAGGGAAGCTGATCAGCCCACAACCAATCAGGAGAGAGTATTTTCCAGCTCCAACAGAGGACAAGACTGAGAACTTCAACTGACAACTATATACAATACATAACAAGAATACTGTAATATTTTGTTCAGAAAACTTTTTCTTTCCTTTCTTTTTCAGCATTTACCTGCTAAATTTCCCTCCCCCTATTGTTCACTATGGAGAGGGCAAGTATACTTGGATGTTGACATTGACACTATGAAAGAGATTAACAGAGTTTATACATATAGAGAGATTAGTGGTTTAAAGAATAAAGGAGCTACACATCTAAGCAGATTGACAGATATCCATAGAAGGAATAAACTTATTCTGTTTTGTAGTTTATCTGTAACAGCACAATGAGGACTGGGTTTGAATATTTATCTGAGTGTGCTATCTTAGATAGAGGCCAAATATGGAAGTGAAGAAATATGCAACATAATTTCACAATACTTCTGTGCTTGCATCAAGCTGCGAATACATTAAGAAAAGAGTCTGCATTATGACATCATCATCTGGATGTTGTCATTTTGAAACTCACTTGATTGGCTGCAGATGGCTATATTTTCTACAAGGCTTTCTTTCCTATGAAGAAAAAACACTGTACACATTTCTCAGAAGCAACCATAATTAGTTGTATATTATTATACGCCTTGGAAAAGAAAATGAAGATTTCAATTTCATATTTTGGTCATTAATGTAATTGCTAATTTCAATAGTTACAGTATTTAATATGCATCTGGTCTGAGATCACTTTGAAGTAATAGATACTTCTAGTAATGAAAAGCAAATTGAAGATAAAATGGAGGTTGTAAATAATGGAAGAAATGACAGAAACTTTCTGAATGGCAAAGATTTCTGCAGACACCAAACTCTGAAATTGATTATTTCCAGGTTTCATGTTATTGCTTTTCTGTACATGGCTTTATGCAGTTTAACCTCCAACTTGAACATAGTAATTATCACTTAAAACTTAGTTTTCATTAACACTTGATTTCTGATACAATGTGATATTGACTACTGAATTTAGATTCAGTCATGTATCACTCATGACAACATTTCTGTATTTCCAAAACTCATGTTTTCCCCTCAAACTGGAGTCCAGATCACAAGATATTTGAGATCTTATCAAATGTATAAGCTATTCAACCGGATACAACAAACATTATATAAAGAAATGGAATGGACTAGACAAACACAATTATGAAAAAAAACTATGCATTTTCAAAGATAGAGGCACACTCTTCATATAGATTAATTGAACCCCATTTAGGCATTAAGAAACTCAGGATCAAGGCATTACTACCAGTTAACATACATCAACAGGATGGATGGATGGACAGACAGACAGATTTACACATGATAGAATTTTGTGGTGGTTCTCTTCCTTTCTCTGAAACTGATTGCAGTTGGTGTTGGGTAGGAACATCACTCCTTAGGCCCTTCCAATGTGGGGTGCATCAAATTTTATTCCCTCCCAAACTCCTTTTCAATGTCTACATGAAACTTTTGGCGAGGTCATCTGCTGGTTTGAGATTCAGTAATCTCGGTATGCTGATGATACCTTTAGACCCCTAACTAGTCAAGTGAGAACACCAAGAGTCTGCTCCAATAGCAGGAAGCTGAGTGGATTTGGATGAGGAGTAACCAACTCTGAGTCAATTCTACAAGACCAAGTAACTGTGGGTGTTTGGATCACCCAAATCTGTGGATATTCCATCTTTGATCTTGGATGGGGGTGGGGGACACTCCTCTCTTCAAGGCTGGTTGACAAGGAATTCAAAATGCACACTGTGGATCACTCATAAAGGCTAGCCAAACATAGAGGATATGTCAAGTCCCGCATAAATATTTATATTGTAAAAAAATGCTAACCTGAATGAAAGCATATTGCATCTATTTTCTTCTATTATGCTTTTAAGGATTTGCTGCAATACATTTATTAAGAGAAAAGGAAGTATGTAAGGTTAAGTGTGTGTCAGCAAGTCAGAAAGGCAATGAGCATGACCAACAAAATAGCCTTATAAGTGGTTGATATATGAATCTTGCATTATGTTTGCACAAATTACAAATATTGTAATCCAGGCTTGTGCTTTGAATCCTGCTGAAACCCTGTCCTCTCTCTCCTTCCCTCCCTCCCTCCCTCCCTCCCTCTGTCTCCCTCTCTCTCTGTCTCATCTCTCTTCTATCTCTACCTCTCATCTATCATATCTCACTCTCTCTTATCCATCTATCTATCATCTGTCTTTCCGTCCATCCGTCCATCCATCCATCCATCCATCCATCCATCCATCCATCCATCCATCTGAGCAGGATTCAGTTGTGGAAAACTTCAGGGGGATAGAGGGAAGGATTGCAAATGCCCTTTCATGTACCATACTGTATCTTTTAACCTCCATGTTTAGGCTAAATAGCTGCCAAGGACTAACAAGTGATTTGCAGATAATGCTTTATACAATAAAAGATTATTCCACAATGTGCTAATTAGATTGCTAGGTAGCCAGAATTTCCAGTAGCTAGAATTCATGGGTAGGCTATTGTTTGCTTTAATACTTTAAGAATCACTGCATAATTCTGAGACTGAATGAAATAATGACATAGCCAATTGTTTATGCCTGGAAGTTATTTCATATCAATAAGTATTATGTTTATATTGTATATGCATATCTACTTAACAGGAGGAATTATGAGTTGTTTGACCTTCATATTCACTTGAAGCCTGAAAATATTAATTGAAACACACTGTATCAGATATTAACTGTACCTAGGATCCCAAAGAGGCTATGAAAAAATTAAGCTTGAAACATCAGATTAGCATAGGATTCTCTACTAACCTATTATACCACCAAAGAAATTGACCACGCTGGTTGTAAGATGACAGGGACTGCTGTCAACAACTCTTTAGACAGGAGGGAAGGAGGGAGGGAGGGAGAATTTGGAATTTCTTCCATTCTGCAAAGTTAAGAAAATTCCAAGCTTGGTCTTGTTAGCATCTTGCTTTTTTTTCTCTTTTACACTGTATCTTCCACCTACATGACCAAAAAGTTATCTTCTAGAAGTGGAAAGCATTATTATTAGTTTGAGCCATGGTGGCACAGTGGTTCAAATGCAGTATTGTAGGCTGATTCTGCTCACTGCCAGGAGTTCAATCCTGACCGGCTCAGGGTTGACTCACCCGTCAAGCCTTCTGAGGTCGGTAAAATGAGGACCCTGATTGTTGGGGGCAATATGCTGACTTGGTAATCTGCTTAGAGAGGGCTGTAAAGAACTATGAAGCAGTCTAAGTGCTTTTGCTATTTAAATCCAGGAAATAGTGGGGAACTTAGATCTGGAAGAAGTAGGGAAAACAAGTAACCAAGTAAAGATTTTATCTTCAAGTTATTGCTTTGGCTGTTCCCCTTTAAAAAAAAAAATAAGAACATTATGTGACTAAATCTGAGAATCCATTAATTCAGTGCCACCTCTTTGATTTTAAACCTCTGCTGTCTATAGACTTATACTGATTTCCCACTCATCCCTATACTGGGAGAATAGCACCTGCAAATCCATCTGAGGGTAGTGAAGGCATCTATAAAACAGCAAAGCAAACTACTGCCAGATATAAGAACCGGATGTGAGCATTCATCAGCATTTTCAGTGGGTGGCGAATCTGACTTGTCAGTTTACATTACAATCAGCTATGCAAAATATATTTTACAGCATGAATAACCAATATGTGTGCTTTTATACATTCTGTACATTTTTCTGAAGGTCCCAGCAAAGATTTTGCATTTAATAAATATTGGGAAATAAAAAGATTTATGTAGCTTTTTTTTTTCCCGGTCTGTATTTCCATGAGTGCTGCAGTGAATATTTCTTCTGCATTGTTTCCAATTATTCTGATTCTCACTGACAGAAAACAAATTGCTTTCAAATGGCTAGCTAGGCTATAGTTAAATGCCTCCTATGAAATATGTATATACATGTTCCAGGTATTAGAAGAGTGATACAAGAGTGTCTGAAAAAAAACAAAAAAAACCAAAACAAAAACAAATTGAATTCAGTGGATTAAGAATCAGGAAACAGATGGATTCTAAAATGAAATAGGCTTAATAGCAGCTGCATGTATGTATGGGTATATGTTTGTGTGTATGTAGACACACACACACACACACACACACACACACCTTCAGCAAGCCCACTAGAGCAAAAGATGACATGCTAGGGTAGCTTTGAGAAGAACACATGGTATATACAGCCCATTATACCAGCCAAACATGCTTGACCTTTACTCATCTCTGCTCAGTTGCTAAGCAATGTGGAAAAAGCAGACAGGTTTAATTAGGTCTATACCCTAAATGACCCAGTTAGTATAAATGTATAATGCACAAAAAAAATTAACATTTGATTTGTACTTTCTTCCAGGGTTTCTGCTACATTTTTAAGCATAGTTACATAATCTGTATCCCAGGGGTTGCCTGAAGCTCACCAATATCGCTCAATTGTTCTCCAAATTCTCAGAAAACTCCCTCCCCCCACATACTCCATCTTGCCTTCTTCATATGTGCTGTACATATAGGTAATCCTCAGATTAAGACTGCAATGGAGCCTGCCATTATTGTCACAGCCTCACTTAATGGCCCCAACTTCCTGATCCCCCTGACGGGGTGGTTAAATGCTACCCATACTTTGGGAAAAGCAGAATAGACTGCTTTATTGCTCAGCCACTTGGTACAATACAAGAAGCGGCTGCCATATTCTGAGCGACCACAATTCAATGCAGCTGCTTGGAAAATGGTGGCTGCTTCCAGGACCAGCAAAAAGTAGTCCATCCCTAATCCAAGTTCTGGAGATCTTTGAAAGGTAATTGAGGAAGGTGTGGGACCTGGTGGAGTGGAAAGCAGGTCTGCATGGACCTGGTGTGGAGGGATCGGGGAAGATCGGCTGGGTGTGCTGAAGCAACCCTACAGTCAGGTGTAAGGGTGAACAGCCAGGGGGATGCTGCAGCAGCTATAACTTCAAGACCAGGTCCTAAATAGCTTTGAGGGGGAGGGAAATTCCGCCATATAATTTTGAATGGCTGCTAAGTGACCGGTCATAAGTTGAGGACTACCTGTATGCCACTGAAGGATCAGAGAAGGTGGACTGCACGAGGTTTTGCAGAAACTTGCTGCTTTCATTAGAAGTGTACAAAAAAGGGATAGATTTTGCATCACAATACCACAAGCTACTTTCATTATTCTGTCTTCCTTTGCTCCCTCACCCCAACCAGGAAACATTACTGAGGGCAGAGAACAATACTGGAGTAAGGAACAGATGAACAAGCCTACACACAGTTTATGGATCAATCAAGCTGAGGCTAGGCTAAGCAGGGACTTTACATTGTTTCCAGCAGCTACCTGCCATTCTCCTGTGGCACACCAAATTTATGATCTTGGTGTTAGGTGACTAATGACAGCAATAGCATTTAGACTTATATACCACTTCACAGTGCTTTAAAACCATCTCTAAGCAGTTTACAGAGTCAGCATATTGCCTCCAACCATCTGGGTCCTCATTTTACCCACCTCAGAAGGATGGAAAGCTGAGTTAACCTTGAACCTGGTGAGATTCGAACTGCCAAATTGCAGGCAGCCGGCAGACAGCAGAAGTAATCTGCAGTACTGCGTTCTAACCACTGTGCCACCGTGAATCAGATAGATGATAGATGAATAGACGGACAGACAGACTGATAGATGGACAGATAGATATAAAGGCTGCAGGATACGAAGTATAGCAAATGCGTGAGAAAAAATATATATTTTGAAGGATTATGTTCCTGCAAAGTCTCAGGCCAGTAGAAAGTCTTGGGAACAGAAATACCTCTTGCTGCATTTTAAATAAGGTTCTGTAGCCCTTTGGATGTAAAGGTTAAAAGATATGGTAGGGAAGGGAGATTTAAAGCAGCTGCATCTTTTTCTGGGTACAAGCAGCTCTTCTTTCATGTTTGGTTGAAGAAGCTGCAGATGGGTTCTACATTGTGCTGATAGGATCTACATTTATGCTCTGAGGTGCCCTAAAGAGGATTTTGCCTTAAAACCTAAAACGCTGCAGAATCCTAGCATTTGTGCTTGAGCCTGGCAGTCTTTTACAGCAGCTGTCAGCTAATCCTATGCAGCTCATAAGCATTCCAGGCCATAACTTTGTGAGCCTCTGCCTAGCTCCTGTAGTTCTGGATTACCCTGTGGGCTTTTTCAGTGCCAATTCAGCAAAATGGATATAGATATTTTCCTGCCTACTGATCCCATTCTAGTTGTCTATTTGTTATCTCTTTTCTCCATCTTGGATTGGCAAACTAAGGCAATAATATGAAATGTTTGAATGCCTATATACTGTATGTCTTCTGTGTGTAAACAAATATGTATGGAAGATATATTTGTTCTTTTGATTCACAGAGATCTCGCAAATATGTCTGAAAGATTTTTTTCTTTCGATTCACAGAGATCTGTATGTGTTGTGGCCCATCAGTGGCCTGTGCAGCTAGTAGCTGATTCCGACAGCGAGGAGGCTGGTGTGGTGCTGAGCCAGCAGCCTGTGCAGCTGGCACCCAAGTCAGACAATGAGGAGGCTGAAGGAGATGTGGTGCCAGAAGCGGGGATTCAACCAGGGCCTTCAGAACCTACATAAGCTCCTATAAGTGAAGAGGAAGAAGAGGAGGAGCCTCTTTTCGATGCACAGGCGTGCAGAGCTGCCAAAAGGCAGGAGTGGCTCCTCAGGAGGTCTCCTCGAGAGTAAGGCTTGGGGCTAATTGGCCACTCCCTTAGCTTATTTAAGGAAGGACAACGACTGAGGCAATTTGCAGGGAACAACTTCATTCACTTTCCTTCGCATCTGGATCTTAGTTCTCTTATCAGTTTCCTGCAAATTGCTTCTGGGCTTTCTGCCAACCATAGTAAGATTATGATTATTTATTCTTTGGATTCTTGTAGGCTGTTAAGAAAGTTAATTAATTAAAGTTAATTTGTTTGAAAAAGACTGATTTAATTTAGTAAACTAAGGTTTGTACATACTTTGTGTGTGCTGCGTTCTTTGGGGTCCGTAGCTGGGGCAGAACAGTATGTATGTCCATGTGCATTAAAACTGAGCAGTTATATCATAACATTGAATATAGAGTAGGCTATGCAATGTTTCATATTTGAGAGGGAAAGAATGCTTAGGAAAAAAAACCCATCTAGAACTCTTTAAAGCAGCTACATCCTACATCAGGATCACATGGATAGCCCATATGGTTGGTTTAAGGAGCTGCAGGTAGTGTCTCAAAAGTATGTTTTTGCCTCAGGCTACAAAGTGTAGCAGAGCATTTAATTAAATTAATTAATACAACAAAAATTGTTCCCATCTTGCATTTTAAAGCACTTTGAATTTTGTTTCTCTTTTGCAATGCAGTCCTAACGTGGTTGAAAAACTGACATGACTTTCCACTTGATAAATTTTCTGCATCCTTCGCCTAAGGCAGTTTTGTTTAATTAAGGCAACAAATATAAAATATCCAAGATAAAAGGTGAGAGGGATATATTTTGGATTTTTTTTTGATATCCAAAGAAAATTCTTAATGTTTGTTTTTCTTCCAATTGGCCCTGGGCATTATTTTAATCTAGAATTTAATATGAATTTTAGAAATTCTATTCGTCTGAATGAACTTTGGTAAAAATGCAAGGCTGCAGCTGTTTGTTGGTGCAATAGTTTTGTTGTTGTTATCTGGAACTCCTTAGCTTTTAGATAGAATTGGGGAGCAAAATGTTTTATCAAGACCTTAACCTTTCCATGATCGCAGTTCCATCATTCCCAATCAACTTAGTATGTTCAAGATGCTTGAAATCTGAGCAAGTATATTTCAATTAAGTTTCCTATGATATGATTGGTGCTTTATTTCAGTGAAAAATCCCATGGATTAATGTGCCCTCAAATCTCTGTAAGCTGCTTTTCCTAAAACATGCTTTATAGGGATAATTCATAAAATTGCATGGGATACAACATTAATAATTGCTGGAAAGATGAACTCCATTGTTCTGATGTGTCCTTCCAGATCTTTATGCAAGCAATCTGGGTAAAACTGAAAAGAAATTCAAAATATCGTAGGCCTATTTTAAACTACAAATGAAAGTCATGAAAAAAAAATCATTTGCTGCTTTTAAGGATATTCCAGGAGGGTTCATCCTGCACTGCTTTCCATCTTGCTTAAGCATGTATGAAATGGAGATTTAAGTTCGAATCAACATTTTCAGTATTATTTAAAAAAAACCTTGCACTACAGATTGGGAAAATGGTTTGTGGGTCCATTACAGAGAACTATTTCTGCATGTTGTAATGTAATCACAGTTAAACATGAAAGTCTCGGCTTTCTCCTCATTTTTACACAATAATGTATACCATTCTAGTGCAAAATGCATATATGAATTTGTCAAATATTAAAGCATATTTAATATTTAGGAGGACCTTTCCTATTTGCTTTTCAAGATGAATCTCTACATTATTGTTATCATTAATTCATATACATATAAAACTTTGTGATTAGTTGCTCAAGGATAAGGTCACACCTTTCACCTTGGGCAAGTGTGAGTTTAAACTGTTTGGTACTCAAAGTGGAGCTACAATCAAATTGTCTTTTGGAATTCTCTCCCAAAGCCATTAGCAGAGAAGCTGGTAAAAAAAAAAAACTGAACTTCTAGGAGAAATTCTTTGTTGCTTTAGGGGGAAAAAAACTAACATTACTTCTAAGAAAGACCAACAAATGGAGTTTCCTCATTAAAGCTCTCTTGGGATTAATTTGGGAAACTAGAGATGATTATAAAATGAAAGAGGAGAGTCACATACATCCTTGATTACTCAACCAAGTTCAAGAATACCACGCTTGATCTCTGAAAGTTTCTCTAAAAATAACACTATCTTATCTTTTGAAATAATTTCCATAGCAAATTTTCTTCCATCAAATAAATAAGAACTGACCAACAACAAAGAAGCAAACAATGATGCAGAATTGCTCTGCCCAGCATTAATATTGCTAAAACTTTAGGTCACATCTGATCCTAGAAGTTTCAGATGTCTCTTGAGAATTTCCTAAAATTGCTATGAGATTTTAAAGTTTAATGTGGCAAGGCAATGCTATTAAACACATGGAGAATAATCAGGTCATCTATAATTAAGTACATTAAATTAAATTAAGCTTTTGTCTTATTGCTATCCATTTTTTTTGTCCTGATCCCTGTGACTTTTTGGAATGCACCCCTGGCATACCATTAAAAACCAATAATACTCTGAGCCTAAGAAGCATTTTAGGCTACTTTTCTCTACCTTTTCACTGATTTCAAGCCTTTGTATTTTTTTGCTGAAAGAAATAATGTTTCTGTGCTCAGATCTGCTTTGGGTGCTATTTTCAGAAGTAGTAAGTTCCATTTCCAAACCTTGTGCAAACAGTTTAAACTTTTAAGACATAGCAAGAACTTGCTAATTACTAGTTACTACTAGTTAATAGTCCTCAATTTATAACAATCATTCAAAGTTACAGTGGTATGGAAAAAAGTGACTTACAACCAGACTTACAATTTATGACCACTGTATGTTCGTATAATTATGTGATCAGGCTTAGGATGCTTAGCAACCAGCACATGTTTACAATGTTTGCAGTATCCTGTCGTCATGTGATCATCATTCATGATTTCCCAGCTGGCTTCCAACAAGTAAAATCAACGGGGGAAGTGGGATTCACTTAACAACTGTGGAAATAAAGGTTGTAAAATCAGATATGACTCATTTAACAGTCACTTTTTTCCAGTCCCAATTCTGATTGTAAGTCAAAGACTACATACAGTATATATCCATTCATGGAAGGTCCATCATGTACAAAAGTAAAACTTCCTTTGTTGAGATTTTGATTGATTATGTGGCGTCCAGTCATTTTCATTTCTTAGTGACCTCATAGAAAGAGGGTTAATTCAGCTGGTCCAGTGGTGGGTTTCAAACTTTTTTACTATCGGTTCTGTGGGTGTGGCTTGGTGGGCGTGGCATGGCTTGGTGGGCGGGGTTTGGTGGGCATGGCAGGGGAAGGTTACTGCAAAATCCCCATTTCTTCCCGATCAGCTGGGAGTAGGGAGGCAGAGAATAGATGGGGGCATAGCCAGTCAGAATAATTCCTACCGGTTCTCTGAACTACTCAAAATTTCCGCTACCAGTTCTCCAGAATTGGTCAGAACATGCTGAAAGCCATCTCTGAGCTGGTGCACAGGTTGTCCTGGCTGCCATGTAATACTGGTTCTTGGTTATAAAGTCCTGTGTGGCATAGGGCCTAGGATACCTGAGAGACCACTTATCTCCAAATGTTTCTGCCCACCCAGTATGTTACAGCAGAGTTGGTGTGTTTCAGGTCTCCTCATTAAGGCTCCTGTGGAACCTAGAAAGCATGCCCTATGGAATAACACCCTCCTAAAATTAAGGACTTCATCATCTCTCCTAGACTTCTACAAATCTTTGTA